GAAACTCCGGACATCACGGATGGTTTTTTGGGGTTTGCATGTTTTCCACAGCTTTGATTTTTTCCGGGTCTACAGCGATGCCGTTGTTTGATACAACGTGGCTAAGATAGTATAGCTTCTCTCTAAAAATTCACATTTGTGCAATTTTGAGTATGAGGTTCGCTTTTCGGAGCCCTGTCGAACACTTTCTCCTGGTGTTTCAGATGTTTTTCGAAGGAGTCACTGAACACGATGATGTCATATATAAATGCAAGTGCAAATTTTCTGACATCCCCTAAAACTGCATTCATGAGATTTTGAAAGACTGACGGACTTCCGACGAGGCAGAATGCCATTCTGTTAAATTCGAATACACCGAAATCTGTCCCAAAAGCCGTTTTCTCCTTGTCCTCTTTCTTAAAAGGTATTTACCAAAATCCGGCTTTTAGGTCCAGACATGTTCTAAACTTTGATTTTCCAAGTGAGTACATGATGTTTTCCGTGGCGGGGATGCTAGGGGCTGGGATTATGGCTACAGCATTTATTTTCCGAAAGTCCTTGCATACTCTATGAGAGCCATCTTTCTTAGGAACAATGATGACTGGGGAAGGCCATGGCGACTTGCTACGTCTGATCACTTTGGCATCCAGCGTCTCTTGGATTTTATTGTCTAAAATTTATCTATGAACCAATGAAAGGCGATAAGGCCTTTGTCGAATGGGAGGATGATTTTGTATGTTGACCCGTATTTCCGTTACATCTGTCATGGCCAATTCAACGTCTTTTTGCACGAAAACAGCTACGTTTTTGGTCAAAAGCTTAACCAGTGGCTGGCGTTGTGCATCAGGGACATGACTTAAATTAGAGGCTTCAAGTTTTTCTTAAGTGCTGCTATCTTTGGATTGGGAGGTTTGAACTACTTCGGTAACAGAAATGTTGGGTTCGTGGGTCTCAAGACTTGTAGCTGCACCTAGAACTTGGCCTTTCCGAAAATGCATGAATCGACCTGTTTCGTTCACCATGGCCCAGGGGACATGTTTGTTTTTTGATTCTTTTACTACTGCATTAGGCAGTAAGATATCTGGCTCATTTTCGAAGCAGGCGAACGACGGTAATTGCATGACTACCAAGTTTTCTCCAGCCTGCTTTTTCTTTGGGAGATAACATTTGATCAGAACATCTGAATGTGGGAATACAGTGACGTCCCCTGCTAGTCTCACAAGATTGATTTCTTCATGTTTTTATCTGCCTTTTACTTTAAGGGATACACATGGTTGCCAATAGTCAATGTTTTATGTTCAAAGGTCCGAATGTACTTTTCTAGCAGTCGTAAAGTCTACTCCGAGAATCATGTCATGCCCAAAATTGGCCAACACAAAAAACTCGTGATACATGTGAACTTCTCCTAGCGTAACACGAATTTTCACAATTTTGGTTACTTTTAGGGTATGCCCTAATGCGGAAATCAAGGGTATTTTCTCAGTTTCTACAAGTTGTACTAATTTTGGGTCACATAGTTTTAGGAATTCTTCGCTCACCAGAGAGAGATGTGCACCCGTGTCCAAAAGTGTTCTGATTGGATGTGTACCTATACAAACATCTATGTAGGGACTGTTTTCGCTTGCCTGAAGCACGTGGGCTAGTTGCTCCTTTTCGTCCGGTTGTGTGGCGTGAGGCGCTCCTAGTTTCCCTGCTGCGGGCGTTGCTCGGTGGTCGGTCGTGGTTGTGCTGCCGCTGCGGAGGCTGTTGTGGCCGTCTCATCTCGTAAGCTCTCTTCCTGCAGACCCTCTGGATGTGGCCCGGGATGCCGCAGAAGAAACAGATCGGTCGATGGTCTGCTGTCCGCTGGTACTCGTGCGGAGCTGGGCGTGAATTCACTGGCTGCTGTTGTGGTCGGCGCTGGGGCTCTTACGTGGTGGTCTCGTTGGATGCCGGTAGTTTGGTCTCCCATACTCACGTGGTGGCCGTGGATGGTACCTGTATTCCTGGGTTTGCTGTGGGTTTACCTGTGGGGGTGGCTTCTGCGTTTGGGTCAGGATCATGACCTTTACGAATTCACTTAGTTTATCCACCTCAGTCTGTTGTGGGGGACGGAGGGGGGGGGGGGGGTAGGTTGGGCCACGGTATTCACGTCCATGGGTTCTGTTCCGTCTCTTTTGTCCCTGCCTGCTATTTTTTCTCGTAGTTTTATTTCCTCCATGGCTAAATGCGCAGCTTCGTTGACGTTAGTCGGTCGTTTCCGCGTCAAGTGATGTCGACGGTCCTTGTCCGTCATTCCATTGATAAAAATATCCATGCTGCTTTTACGAACATTTCGGGTATCTATTTCCTAGTTGTAAGCCTCCTTGGCGAGCGTCATGAGGCGAAAGCCATATTGGGGAAAAGACTCGTTGGGTCGCTTAGTAAAGATACTGAGCTTTAGTTTGGCGTTTGAGAAGTCGTCAAGATGCTGGAATTTTTGTATCACGAATTGTTTTAGATGGTCCCAAATTACGATGGTGTCCGCTACCTCTCCGTAGTAGTCAAAACCGAGTCCCCGTAGTAGTCGGGCTGCGGCATGCAAAGTCGTCTTTTGATCTGTGTTGCATTCTTTTTGGGTGTTGTCTACCATGGTAAGCCATCGGGTCAGACTTTCCGCACTTGTTCCGTCAAATGCAGCTTTCACAGGCTCCATACCCAAAGTGATTAGAAGGGTCATTTGATTTCGGAGGGAATTTATGCTTTTCACAATGTACTGCGCGTTTGGATCCAGAGGCAAGCTAACCTCTTCAAGGCTACGAGCCATGTTGCAAGCTGATAAAACAAGAAAAGAAGCAAAAGAGGGTCAGCCAGTACGTTTTTCGGTGCGAGATCGATGCTGTTTGGCCAGTCGTTCACTAGTCACTTTCTCCCCGGGACGACGCGATACCATGGAGTACAAACGGCGAACGCGAGCTTGCGGCCAACAAGTCGTCGAATGTCCCGTTGAGATCGCTGACGTCTAGGTCCCAGTCGATTAATATCGGCCGGCCGAGGTGTTGCCGGGCGGAAGTCCTTCGCGGGCTGCTATGCTGGGCCGACGGGAGCGGAGGCTCAAACCGTCCTGATGCAACGGGAGCTTCCTGATGCAACGGGAGCTCAAGTTCTGACCGTTCGTCGTTGATGGTAGCAGACGGGAGCTGAGGCCCAGACCGTGCTTCAGGGCTGGCGGGGGCGGAAGCCGACACGCGTTGGTCGTGTGCTTCGTTCAGGGCCTCGATTGATGTTTGGTTGTACGTGGCGTTTCTGGGAGCTTCAGGCGGATATCTCCGGCTTTCTTGTTCGGCTACCCTCACTCTGTGGGTCTCTTGCACCTGTCTCAGACAGCTGATGGCTGCGCTGCTGATGCCACAGCAACGGGACAGGCACAAGGCACAAGTGCAGCGGTTCAAGTTTGGCCTAGAATTAGTTGTTAACTCGCAGCCGCGGTTATGGCAATACCCACAGGTGAAACAGTAGCAGGCGGCACTGTTCAGGTGGCACTCACAGCAATGGTCGTGGAGTGCGTGCCGCCTTTGTGCAAAATACCTTTTGTGGTACTGACACAACCTGTGCTGGACTGCTGAGAACTCGTACTTGAAACTGGTGACGTCGTTGAGTACAGTCCAGCACGGTAGGGGCCGTTGGCGAGTCCGTCGAGCACCACAGCGGTGCAGTATCTTCCTCTTCTGTGCCGTGGTTCTTTCGGTAGTTGGGAGCCCAGATGCACGCATCGCTGTTGGAAGTTCGCAAGCATGCGATACATTCAACTCTCCGTGTCACGGCACCAGTTCAGCACGCCTAAAATTCAAACTCTTCACCAAACTTCACAAAAGAGTCTTCTGGCAATGATACGGGCGGCACATGGGCTCTAAGCGTGCGCTCGGGTCCGAGGCTCTGGACCACGCAGGGCCCTTTTTGTATCACTGTCTGGGCGCACTCTGCCCTTGGCGTGGCGCACACAGTCTGAATGCTCACGAGGCCAAGTCGACGCGTTGCATGATCAGCGCGTGATCCTGCGTACAATACAGTTCTGTAGCACGTGATCACAATATGTAGGTCGGTTCTTGCAGCGCGTGAGCGGCGCGATGAGCACGGGTGAAGGTCACGTGGGGCGTTGTTTCGCGGTTGCGCCCACAGACGATCTTTGTGCCTCGTCGTGTTTGTTAATGTTAGTCTAGACAATCGAGGTCAATCTGGCGCCGCTTGCAGCACAATGTATACACCCGCAGCGACGGGCGTGTCGCGGCATCGGGCCGCGTGCCGTCGGCGGCCTGCGCGTGGTGACGAGACGCGGGCACAGGCGACCGAGGGTTAAAAATCTGGAATAACGCGTGCTAAAACAACAGACAGATGCTACATAAAACAACAGACAAATGCTACCTAAAACAACAGACAGATGCTGCATAAAACAACAGACAGATGCTACATAAAACAACAGACAGATGCTACACTCAGGTCAACATTTTGTTTTTAGGAAAATGTTGCCTAGCGTGATCTTTGTCGCTTATTCAAATGCAAAACTGAGAGCATTCTTGCATGATTTTGGTAACCATGACCTTCAAAAGCTCATGTGATCAAACGATCTTATGATCTCAAATGAGCTTGTGGCGTTTTGCTTAAAAACAGTTCTCTAGTATAACTAATTTTAAAAACCCACACCACTGCACGCACCTCGCGCTGGGCAGCCCTACCAGTCCCGAGCACCCGCACCGTTCTCAAAAATTTATATGACACCAGAATGTACTTGCATGGCAGATACACAACGTCAAACACAGCACAGTTCTGCCGAACCAATCATAAGTTGCTTTCGCTTATCAAAAGTCAAGCATAGTTACCAGATATCTATACTACTAACGGCTGACAGAGTCGGTCTGTTTCCAGGCCAAAACTAGATCATTCTGATCAAAACTAGATCGTCGTGTTTATACGACCGTGTTCCTGGCGGCACCGGGGCTTGGTACAGAGCCAAGGATGCAGGCGTGCTCTGGTCAGTAGCTTGCATAACATTCATGGGCGGCGGAACGGTCCCCGAGACGGCCGTTCGTCTGCAACCGTCGTGGGGCTGTGAACGAAAGCGACTGAGGGTATCTGGGGACGGAAGGTGTCTGGCACGCGAATAGGCGTCGCCATGGCTACGAAGGTGGATGAAGTGGCGGCACGGTGGGAACAGCAGCAGCGGGAGATAGCGGCCATGTTGGACCAGCTGAAGCCGCCGGACGACTGGAAGCTGCTGCCGGCTGACCCCAACTACAAGTACCCACTGGTGCGCTACTACCGCTACCGTGGCACCGTGCTCAGCAACTTCCCCCTGCTCTGGGGCTTCCTGGAAAGCTGGAAACGTTTCCAGGCGCGTCCCAAGGACGTCATCGTAGCCAGCTTTCCCAAGTCGGGCACCACCTGGCTACAGGAGTTGGTTTGGCGGGTCGTGCACGGCGAGACAAGCGTTAACAGCGGCGGCGGCGCCACACTCGAGTATCGCTTCCCCCTTCTGGACGAACCCTATGCAGACATCATGAAGATGACACCCATCCACGACATGGAGGATCCGCGCCTCATCAAGACGCACCTGCCTTACGACCTGCTGCCCCCCAGCGTGCACACCGGCAACGCCAAGGTGCTGTACGTCTCGCGTGACCCCCGCGACGTCTGCGTCTCCTACTACCACTTCTTCCGCATGATTAACTACGCGGAGTACCGCGGTACCTTCCAGGAGTTCCGCGACAGCTTCGTGCGTGGTGAGGTGATGTACGCGCCTTACCGTGAGCACGTGCAGGGCTACCTGCGTCACGCCGACACCGTGCTGTGCGTGACGTACGAGCAGCTGCACGCTGACCGCGCGGCCGTCGTCCGTCGAGTGGCCGCCTTCCTGGAGCGGCCCGTGACCGACGCCGAGGCCGAGAGTATCGCGCGTCACACCAGCTTCGAAGCCATGAAGGAGAACCCCGGCACCAACTACCGCCACTGGGAGAAGACCGGCATGGTAAACGTGGGCTCGGAGGTCACCTTCATGCGCAAGGGCCAGGTGGGCGACTGGAAGAACTACTTCACTGAGGAGGAGGGTGCCGCTTTCCTGAAGTGGGCGAAACAGCCGGTCTGAGGCTGCTCAGTAGGATGTTCCAGAACAAAGCTTTTTGGAAACTTTTGGGTGCTCATGACTGGGGTGGCTCTTCGGCTCAAGGTGAGCTCAGAACTGTTTCATTTCTATATAATATTGACGCGTGCGTAGGCGGTACACAAAGAGTAGCAAGTTTGGTAGTGTTAAGTTATTTTCGGCCTGTTGTAGCAAACAAAACGTTATTAAAATGGACAGTGGCATCGTCTTGGTTGCTTGAAATGAGGTTGTTAGCGCACTCTTAGCATGCTGATTCTATGATTTGGAACAAAATATCGAAGTGGTGTCTTCACAGAAGGGGATAACTTTTTTAGAGGCAGCATGAATGTCAAACTAATTCCTGCAAATGTTTCGTCTAAATGGTGTGAATATACGTTGGATGCGAACACAACTTTTTTGCTGTCTTTAGCCCCATCAGACCTCCCTTCGATCTCCCTATTCTTTTCTTAACCTCGGCCAAGAGAAAGAAAAAGCAAGTCAGTTAATTAAAGAAATAGGTATACCAAACTGAGCCTCAGTTTACATCGTTACTGCTTCAGGGAATTGTTCTGAACTCGTTGTACACTATCTCACACCGGATGATGTCCGACGCACGCTTATTTTAAGTGCTGATCTTCTACCGATGAGCTTTCACACTCTCGCAGAAGCCGCTGTAGCTGATCCCTGTTGCCAGCTGCAGTGAGTGTGAAGATCTTAAGCATTAGTACACCCTTTCTGCAGCATGAATAAACATACCTTGCACGCCACTCAAAATCACTGTGAGTTGGATGTTCGTCCAGCCAAGAGAACTCATCAACCAGATCGGACAATACCGTGTGCCAGTTACCGAACGGCGCTGCATCCTCAGAGTCATTCGTCACTGGCATAGACAACACCGTTGAAGCCCTACCTACCTTCTCATTATCGCTGACACCACCCGAAACTAGACGGAACAAGACCATCTCAGGTCTGAAATAGGTCTCGTGGCGATACGTTATCGCTGAGGCCATTGCTTCAGGCGTTCAAAGCGATGTCATCATCTATTTTCATAGCATGTTGTTGGTCCCGTCATTGCGAAGATGGCTCAAAGCCACCCGATTTTTAAGGTCTTTGTGCACCCCTTAAGCATGTAGAAATTTTGACAAAGCTGACAAAAATTGAGGTCACCCTGGGCTGGAGAATTGGACTTCTCCTGAGCACACCCATAAAAAGTGTTTTTTTTTGGGACACCCTGATGTGCACACACAACGCATAGAAAAACCCCAAGTCCAGTTGCGGGTATTCACAAGTCATTCCAAGAAGTGGCTCATTGTTTGATTTGTCATAATTACAACAGCACTCTGAATGAAATATAAAAACATGCCAACAACACGACCACATTTGCACATCATTAACTATTAAGTCCTACACATTGATTGATTGCAAAGATTTTAATGGGCTCCACTGATTGCAAAGATTTTAATCGCTAGATCACGCCTTCTACCACATGATTAAACAGATTTTGCACGGCGTTCAAAATTTCTTTGCAAAACGGATACCCGTCGTTGTCCTCTCTTTGACCTAGTGGGTTGATAAGCTACCGGGTGGCATCGATCTGAAGGAACTGGAAACCAGCCAATGAGATTTATCTACCAGATCTGCCAATTCTGTGCCCTTGTTACCGAATGGCATGGCATCCCCCAAAATCATTCGTCACTGGCCTAGACAACAACGTTGAAGCCCTGGCTGCCTTCTCATTATTGCTGACACCACCCGAAACTAGACGGAACAAGACCATCTCAGGTCTGAAATAGGCTTCGTGGCGACAAGTTAACACTGAGGACATCGTTTGCTGTCATTATCCATTTTTATAGCATAATGTTGGCCCGTGATTGCGAAGATGGCTCAAAGGCACTCGATTATTAAGTGCCTTTCGCACTCCTTAAGCATGTAGGAATTTTGACATCCCTGAAAAGATTCAAATCGCCCTTGGATGGGGAACTGGGCTAGTCCTGAGCACCACCACAAAAAGTGTTTTCTGGGACACCCTGATGTTCACACAGAACACATAGACGGTCCCCAAGTTCACTTGATGGTATTCGCAAATCATTCCAACAAGTGGCTCATTGTTTGATTCGGCATAATTACAACAGTACTCTGAGTGGAATACAAAAACATGCCAACAACACGACCATATGAGCACATCATTACCCATTGAGTCCTACGCATCACGTCGTCAAAAACCAAAGCATTTGATGAAAATGCAAACCGTGAACACATGCTGAGCAACGGCAAGCAGGTTCATATTCACCAATAGACATTGCAAACCCCCTAGCCTGGTGCGAAACGCATTGTAGGTACGAAAGGCGGTGATGTTCGGCGGGAAGCGGCTCCGTGATAAGGCCGCGCCATCCAAAAATGCCCTGCGTGCCACTGACAGGCAAAGAGCTGGCAGATCACGGGCGTGCGCCGCTGCGGCCCGGGTGGCACGCTAGCATACAGGGGTCCGTGTGGTGAACAGGGGCCGGATCGCCACCGGAGCCCGTCAGTCATTAAGGGCCCTGAATGCAGCGAGGCCCCGACTGAGGGCGATAAGGTCACCAACACCGCACCAGGGCGGCACGTGAACAGTTGCCGCCATTGAATCTCGCCGATGAGCATCGGTGATGGTCCTGGCCCCAGAGTATATCACCTCTTGAGTACCAGCGGACAGCAGACCATCGACCGATATGTTTCTTCTGCGGCATCCCGGGCCACATCTAGAGGGTCTGCAGGAAGAGAGCGCACGAGATGAGACGGCCACAACAGCCTCCGCCGCGGCAGCAATAGCCACGGCCGACCACCGAGCAACGCCCGCAGCAGGGAAACTAGGAGCGCCTCACGCCACACAACCGGACGAAAAGGAGCAACTAGCCCACGTGCTTCAGGTAAGCGAAAACAGTCCCTACATAGATGTTTGTATAGGTACGCATCCAATCAGAACACTTTTGGACACGGGTGCACAACTCTCTCTGGGGAGCGAAGAATTTCTAAAACTATGTGATCCAAAATTAGTACAACTTGTAGAAACTGAGAAAATACCCTTGATTTCCGCATCAGGACATACCTCAAAGTAACCAAAGTTGTGAAAATTCGTGTAACGCTAGGAGAAGTTCACATGTATCACGAATTTTTCTGTTGGCCGATTTTGGGCATGGCATGATTCTTGGAGTAGACTTTACGACTGCTAGAAAAGCACATTCAGACTTTGAACATAACACATTGACTATTGGCAACCTTGTGTATCCTTTAAAGCATAAGGCAGATAAAAAACATGAAGAAATCAATCTTGTGAGACTAGCAGAGGACGTCAATGTATTCCCACATTCAGATGTTCAGATCAAATGCTATATCCCAAAGAAAAAGCAGGCCGGAGAAAACCTGGTAGTCACGCTATTACCGTCATCCCCCTGTTTCGAAAATGAGCCAGGTATCTGTCTGCCTAATGCAGTAGTAAAAGTATCGAAAAGCAAACATATCCCCTGGGCCATGGTGAACGAAACAGGTCGATTCATGCATTTTCGGAAAGGCTCAGTTCTAGGTGTAGCTACAAGTTTTGAAACCCACGAACCCAACATTTCTGTAACCGAAGTAAGCCCGAAGCCCGAAGCCTGGGCAATTCCGGATAAAACGGCCGCCACTATAGCACAAATCATGCTTGAAGAATTCGTACCTCGCCATGGCTGTCCACGAGCAATTATCAGTGATCAAGGAACAGAATTCTGTAACTCCCTGCTGAACATTGTTAATAAAGAACTCGACATTTTCAGAATACGAACATCTAGTTATCATGCGCAATCAAACGATAAAACTGAGAGATTTCATGGATGTAGGAACGAGATGATCGCAAAACAAATTAGTGACAATCAGGATCAGTGGGACAACATTTTGCAGCCATGCCTCGCCGCCTATCGAGTTAGCAAAAATGAGTCAACCAAATACCCCCCATTTTTCATTTTGTACGGTCGCGATCCTGTTCTCCCAGTAGATACCCTGTTACAACCCCGTCTTCGTTTCACAGGGGAACATTATGTGTCCGTCGTGTTCGAGAACCTACATAACGCTTTCACACAGGTCACCCAAAACATGCAACAGTCTCGAGACTACAACAAAACATTGATAGGTAGGACCGCTGAATCATCGCAGTTCAAGCCAGGAGACCCGGTCTACTATTATGACCCTACAGTAAAACCTGGTGACTCTGCAAAATTCACGTTCTACTGGAAGCCATACTATAGAGTTGTGTCCAAGATGGGAGAAGAAAATTACTTTATCGAAAACATGATATCCGGTAAGTCAAAAGTAGTGCACTCAGAAAACTTGCTCATTAGGGAACCGGATGGCGTCTGGAATAGGTTATACGACACAGTCAGGCCACCAATGCAGGTAGGTGTCAGACCAGAAGAACCGCCACTACGACAACAGCCCTTGCACGCAGCAAAATTTTCCTTCGGCGATCAATATTGGTACGTACCAGACAACCAGCAGGATTCTCGGCCACTTTGGAACAACATCCAAAATCAACCTAATGAAGCAGAAGAAGCAGAAGAAGCAGAAGAAGTAGAGGATGTAAAGGACGGAAGTGTAGAAGAGGAGGAAGAACGAGAAGCAGAAGAGGACGCCACAGAACCGCAAGGGGAAGAAAAGACACCCCTTGACAGCCGTTCACAGGTATTACCCCCACTGAACCCTGCTCACCATTATCACCGGATAAAGGCGAAAGTGGAAGGTTAGTACGAGCCCCATGGAGATAGACACGTTATAACCTCCGTTCCCAGACACCATCGCCAATGGACACGTCTGTTCACGATGGGTATGGATTCGCTCAGCCTGGCGACTGGCGAAAGAGACGAAAAAGACGAAACGACGGTTCTAGTGAGCGCAGAACAGACATGACGGACAAACGACAAGGGTGCAATTTGATTATCAATGTTCACCGAACGAGGTAAACATTGCGAGCGTTGACATACCATCGCAGCCAATTGAAAACACGGGTCATTCTGAATGCAATGTTCCGTCGAATTGGTTTCCCGGCGTGCCTAGTCTGGCCATTTCGTTGCTCGAGTTGACGTTCCCAACCTGGGTTTAACACTCATGTTTGTCATTTCAGGACCAAAACCATGCACGTAAGGACAGGCCTTGTGGTTAAAGGCTGGCTCATATGCACGCTAAGCGCAACCCCTTATCATCCCAATGACCCGGGACATTTGTTTATTCCATTAGGTAAAACGTACCCAAGATACAACTCCTGGGCCATCACGCTTTCAACAAGTATGACTTCTTACCGCCGGCAGATGGGAACGATCAAAAGAGCCACCAAAAAGATTGCGGACACTATTAGAAATTTACCAAGCACTCATGGCAACCGCTCCTACCCAAATTATGCTGTGTTAAAAATGTCCATTAACCACATGTCTCAATCAGTGACACAGTTGAAACGCGAAGAATCGGACCTCTCTCACACGTTTATGGACATTCTGAATCCACCAGATCTTAAAACAACAATCGGCGCGAAGCGCGGGTTGATCAATGGCGTGGGCAATGTAATGTCTTACCTACTCGGAACCGCAACAGAAAAAGAAATCAAGCATCTAACCGAAAACGTGCAGATTATCAATGCAAGATCATCAATGCAAAGATCATCATCATGCAGATCATCAATGCAGACCATCAATGCAGATCATCAATGCAGATCATCAATGCAGATCATCAATGCAAAGGAGATGGCAATGGCCCTAACCCTTAACGGAACCCTTCAAGTCATAAATTCCACTCGAGTTGCAATAAATCAAAATCGACGTGCACTCCTTTCCCTCAACACCGCTGTGAAAAGAATGCAGGTGGCTTACCAAGGTTTGGTAAATACCTCTAGGAACACGAGCAAAATCTTCTCCCTTATATCACATCTCAACTTCCTGGCAGAAAACGTCCACCAGGTGACGCGAAGCGTCCACCGCCTACCCACCGAACTAGAAAGGTTAACAACCGAACATCAACTTCCTGGCAGAAAACGTCCACCATGTGACGCGAAGCGTCCACCGCCTACATGCCGAACTAGAAACGCTACCAACCAAACTAGCCCTTGCCCAAGCTGGTGTATTACATAATTATCTCATCCCTCCGCAAGAAATTGGACGAATCTTGAGGACAATTGCGGAGTCTTACCACATAATTTTGCCCTACCATTTCCCCAAAGAGACATCAGCAATTATGTCAGAGCAGTCAAGACAAAATTGGTCAAAAACAGAGACACTTATCATGTTCTATTTTACGTCCCGCTTCTGCTCGTTCTCCACGCCTTTGATGTATATCGATTCTTCCCATACCAAGTACCCCATCAAACCCACAACATATCCCTTGGCTACTACCCAAACGAGCCTCACTCTCTGATCGTTTCAGAAAACCGACAACATTACATGCAACCTTCAGAAACAGACATGGAAAATTGCATTTTGGCTCACCTCCTCTTTTGCCAGCTACACGAGGCCCCATATTCCACGGTATCTTCCACATCGTGTGTTGTTGCCCTATTCCGCCAGGACCCAGTGGCAATCATAACTTTATGCGACCCAATCGTCCAAACCACGAGCAATGCCCCTAAGGCCTATTATCTGACCCAGGGCCAATGGCTACTGGTATTCTCCGATCACCATCACAACTTGCTGTGCCTCCACCAAAAGAAGGAAAACGTTCACCATTACAGAAGCTGTTGACATCATTACGCTAGAGATGGAATGCTCAGCTTCAGGAGACTCATTCTATCTGCCACCGTATTACGCGAGCAAAACCCATTTGGATTTACCACAATTGCGGGCCGAAGAACTTTTGACTAACGGATCACTTCCTTTTTGGCGTCCTACCTGGGCACACGCGCTCATTGATACGTCCCGCACCAATGTCTCTGCATTGCCCCCGTTGCACCTAACAGGCATGACTGCAGGTGCCTACTTCAACATAATAGAAGCTTTGCCACTTGCACGTGTCGCGGACGATAGCCCAGCCACCTTTTCGATCTCTTGGACTCTTATTATCATTGCTGGCATACTCGCTATGGGGTGTCTCTGCTTCACCGCTAAGCATTGCTGCCCACGGTCTAGGGGATTATATATGCTACCCCGCTTTCGTCCCATTGCACGCAACCCGACCGCCGAGCCAGCCATTGAATTACAAGAGCCACTGTCTGTCCCTTCGCGGCATCCTGAATCGCCCCAGGCACTCCATCGACGTTCTGCAGGAACGAGCCATGCGGCGTAGCTGCCCCTCCCGTCCAGGAATCGGTGCCAATGCGAGGCACCATTCGAACCACACCGACGGACTCGACCGTGTCGCCCATATTTGGGGCTCGACCAGTCCTTCCCTCCCAGCCCGGTTTGTGGTGTGAGGCCACCAAATGTCCAGATGACGTCTTGGCCCGTCATCCTCATTAGTCCGCTCCCGTGTATATGTTTAGGTTGAGTATATGTATAGGTTAAGCACATGTTTAGATAACGATTCCGTACAGGCGGACGAGTATGGTCACCAAGCGTGTTGAACCAGCCCTCGTTCATGCAGCTCAGAAACCAAATCTACCTCCACATGCACAATGTGCTTGTGTTCAGTATCTTGTTCGTACTTGTGTTTATGTGTCCCGTGCCTATCCGCTTGTATTTACGCGTTTTGCGCCCCTTCCTTGTGTTGTAGTATTCGTGTTTTGCACTTCTATGTTATGGAATTCTGATTTGTTTGTCTTTGTCACCCATCTGTCTCCCTTCGCCCTTAAGGCTCCGATCGCTGCACATTTTGTTGTGTCTCGGCCAAAATGCTTGTTGTGTAGGGGAGGGAGATATTGTAGCATCTGTCTGTTGTTTTATGCAGCATCTGTCTGTTGTTTTAGCCCGCGTTATTCCAGATTTTAACGCTCGCTCGCCTGTGCCCGCGTCTCGCCACCACGCGCAGCCCGCCGACGGCACGCGGCCCGATGCCGCGACACGCCAGTCGCTGCTTATGTATACATTATGCTGCAAACGGTGCGCCAGTTTGACCTCGATTGCCCAGACTAAAATTAACAAACGCGACGCCAGGCAATGATTACCGGTGGGCGCAGCCGCGAAACAACGCCCCGCGTGACCTTCACCCGTGCTCCACGCGCCGCTCTCGCGCTGCAAGAACCGAACTACAAATTGTGATCACGTGCTGCAGAACTGTACTGTACGCAGGATCACGCGCTGATCATGCAACGCGTCGACTCGGCCTCGTGAGCATCCAGACTGTGTGCGTCAGACACTGTGCCAAAGGCAGAGTGCGCCCAGACAGTGATACAAAAAGGGCCCTGCGTGGTCCAGGGTTAGGTATGCCAGAGCCTCGGACCCGAGCGCACGCTCAGAGCCCAGGTGCCGCCCGTATCGCAACCGGTGTATCGTTTTCATAATATGGCACTGCCAGAGGACTCTTTTTGAAGTTTGGTGAAGAGTCTGACATTTTAGGCGTGCTACATGGCGGCGCGGCGGGAGCAGCAGCAGCGGGAGATGGCGGCCATGTTGGACCAGCTGAAGCTGCCGGACGACTGGAAGCTGTTGCCGGTCGACCCCAACTACAGGAACCAGCTGCAGCGCCACCACTGCTTCCGCGGCACCGTGTTCACCAACTTCCACCAGGCCTGGGGATTACTGGAGATCTGGAAACGTTTTCAAGCGCGTCCCAAGGACGTCATCGTAGCCAGCTTTCCCAAGTCGGGCACCACCTGGCTACAGGAGTTGGTTTGGCGGGTTGCGCAAGGCGAGACAGACGTCAACAGCGGCGGCGGCGCCACACTCGAGTGTCGCTTCCCATCCTGAAGACAGCCACTTCGGACGCGATGAAAACGCCATCGATCCACCAGATGGGGAATCCGCGCCTCATCAAGACGCACCTGCCTTACGACCTGCTGCCCCCCAGCGTGCACACCAGCGACGCCAAGGTGCTGTACGTCACACGTGACCCCCGCGACGTCTGCGTCTCCTACCACCACTACTGCCGCATGGTCAACTCCATGGAGTACCGCGGTACCTTCCAGGAGTTCCGCGACAGCTTCGCGCGTGGTGAGGTGATGTACGCGCCTTACCGTGAGCACGTGCAGGGCTACCTGCGTCACGCCGACACCGTGCTGTGCGTGACGTACGAGCAGCTGCACGCCGACCGCGCGGCCGTCGTCCGTCGAGTGGCCGCCTTCCTGGAGCGGTCCGTGACCGACGCCGAGGCCGAGAGTATCGCGCGTCACACCAGCTTCGAAACCATGAAGGAGAACCCCGGCACCAACTACCGCCACTGGGAGAAGACCGGCATGGTAAACGTGGGCTCGGAGGTCACCTTCATGCGCAAGGGCCAGGTGGGCGACTGGAAGAACTACTTCACCGAGGAGGAGGGTGCCGCTTTCCTGAAGTGGGCGAAACAGCCGGTCTGAGGCTGCTCAGTAGGATGCCTTCGAAAATCCGTTTTTGAAAAGGTATGAGTGCTTATGGTTAGCCTGGCTCTTTGGTTCTAGGCAAATTCAGTTCTAGCATGTTTGTAAAAGTTCATGCATGTTTAGAGGGTGCACAAGGAGCTTAAAGTGTAATAGTTTTAAGGTCATCTTCGCTCTGTGGCGGCCAGCGAAGCGTTGTAAAATGGAAATGATCATCAGTGTGTTTTATCTTGATCCTACGTTTTTGATCAAAGCAAAGCGATTAAGGGTACCACTTGATCGAAGGATATGCTGTTTTCATTGGGGGGGGGGGGGGAGGGCGGAAGGGGCAGCAGTGCTAACACTCACAAAATCGAAATGTGTTGAGATGGGTGTGAAAGGAATCTTCGCAACGAAAGTGGCTCAATGTTGCGTATACAAATACGATGAGCATCCACCTCCTTGTAGAAGCAGCTGTAGCCGACCCTTGTCATCATCTACAGTGCTTACGAGGACCTCAATCATTGACGCACCTTTTTTTGCAAAAGCATTGAGGTATGTTGTATTTTGCTTAAAATCACTATAAAACAGTTCGTTGGATTCTCATTGAACGACTGCATTGACTAACCGCCGGCTAGCATTGACCTGAATAAACTAAAATACCAGCCAAAGCGATTCATGTCCCACATCGGCCAGTTCCGTGTGATGTGTCATAGTGGCGAACGGCTAAGCAAACTGAAAATCATTCGCCACTAGCAAACAAAGCGGCGTCGAAGCAACGGATGCCTTCATGCCTTCACAATATCGCCGTCAACACCAAAAACCAGCCGGAACAAGACCATCTCAGGGCCAGTAGGGTGTCCCAGAATGACACTTTTGGAAAAGCATGGATACTCCAGGCTGGCAGGTGTGTCAGTTGACCGAAGGGAGATGCGATTTTTTGTGGAAGGAAGGCAGCAGGTTTAAGAATGGAAAAACTTTCCCATGCGTTGAGATGGATGTAAAAATAATTCTTGCGACGAAATTGCAATTCTTGCAACGTACGGTAATATGATGCGGGCACATTTGACCTGTTTTTAGCCCTATGTGACCTTACATTGAACTTACTATCCCATGCTTGATCTCGACCATGAGAAAAGCAAATGCCAAACCAAGCGAAATATAATTGTGTGACAAATAGTGAAAATCACGCGACACGGTTACCTCATCAAACATTTTTTTGAAAATACTATACGTTGATACATATCAAAAGCGTCCGGTGGACGCTTATTTAAAGTCCTGATCTTCTACCGGTCGGTTTTGACCTCCTTGTAAAAGCCACTGTACCTGATCCTTGCTCACTGCAGCTGATCCTTGTCCGCTGCAGCTGACCCTTGTCCACTGCAGCTGATCCTTGCTCACTGCAGCTGATCCTTGTCCACTGCAGCTGACCCTTGTCCGCTGCAGCTGATCCTTGTCCACTGCAGCTGACCCTTGTCCAGTGCAGCTGATCCTTGCTCACTGCAGCTGATCCTTGTCCGCTGCAGCTGATCCTTGTCCGCTGCAGCTGACCCTTGTCCGCTGCAGCTGATCCTTGTCCACTGCAGCTGATCCTTGCTCACTGCAGCTGATCCTTGCTCACTGCAGCTGATCCTTGTCCGCTGCAGCTGATCCTTGTCCGCTGCAGCTGATCCTTGCTCACTGCAGCTGATCCTTGTCCGCTGCAGCTGACCCTTGTCCGCTGCAGCTGACCCTTGTCCGCTGCAGCTGACCCTTGTCCGCTGCAGCTGACCCTTGTCCGCTGCAGCTGACCCTTGTCCACTGCAGCTGACCCTTGTCCGCTGCAGCTGACCCTTGTCCGCTGCAGCTGACCCTTGTCCAGTGCAGCTGATCCTTGCTCACTGCAGCTGATCCTTGTTCACTGCAGCTGATCCTTGTCCACTGCAGCTGATCCTTGTCCGCTGCAGCTGATCCTTGCTCACTGCAGCTGATCCTTGTCCGCTGCAGCTGATCCTTGTCCGCTGCAGCTGACCCTTGTCCGCTGCAGCTGATCCTTGTCCACTGCAGCTGATCCTTGCTCACTGCAGCTGATCCTTGTCCGCTGCAGCTGATCCTTGTCCGCTGCAGCTGATCCTTGTCCGCTGCAGCTGATCCTTGTCCGCTGCAGCTGACCCTTGTCCACTGCAGCCGACCTCTACTCCTCGCGGTCCAATGATCCCCGAAAAAATCCCCAGCACAGAAGCTAACGGCGGCCAAGAGAAAAAAACACAGGGCGAAGATGCTGATCGTCTTCGGCGGCCTCATGTGGGGAAAGCGGTCAATGTCGCACACGTGAGTCTTTGCCGAGCTTAGGGTGCCCCAGGATTACGCTTTTTGTAAAAAAAAAAGCACTGGCTCCCAGGACCAGCCTTATGCTCCGTTCGACGAGAGCTCAACGAAAGAGACTTCGGTGCTGTCATTTTTACGTTACATCGGACCACTCAGCAGCGTAGCGATAGCACGCTTTATACGTTACCAGGCAAGGGCTGTGGGGACAGTCCATAGCATTAGCACGTGTTGCACGTTACCAGACAAGGGCTGGGAGGACTATCCATAGCGTTAGCACGCTTTACACGTTGCCAGACAAGGGCTGGAAGGACAATCCATAGCATTAGTACGCGTTGCACGTTACCAGAAAAGGACTGGGAGGACTATCCATAACGTTAGCACGCTTTACACGCTACCATACAAGAGTTGGGCGACAACCCATAGCGTAAGCACGCGTTGCACGTTACCAGACAAGAGTTGGGAGGACAATCCATGGCGTTAGCACACATTGCACGTTACCAGACAAGGACTGGGAGGACAATCCATGGCGTTAGCACACATTGCACGTTACCAGACAAGGGACTGGGAGGACGATCCATGGCGTTAGCACACAGTGCAACGTACCAGACACGGACTGGGAGGACAATCCCAATACCTACCTGCTCGTGAGGGATTGTGTGTTATAGCCGACATTGTCGAGCCGAGAACGAGCCGGATATTCGGGGAATCGCCCTGCGAAAGCCCGTTGGGTTTCGGCGTAGAATTAGGGTAACGACTGTCGCGGAATGGATACGACAGAACGGTCTGCACAAGACAAGTATCATAGAGATCACAGATGCACAGTGCGAAAGACCAGCGGAAGAAGACAAGGCTCCTTCTACGGTTCATAGGAGGCTTAGTTGTGAGACCGTTACACAAATGGGATCCTGTCTCTGTCCTTCCTTCTTCCCCGTACCATCCTCGCTGTCAGGTATACCAAACACACTCTTTAATAGACACACAAGATAACATTACCTTTTTTATCTTTTCTCTCGAACAAGGCCATCTGCGCTCATATGAAGCTGAAGGACCTACGCTGAGTGAGGGTGAAACTGCTGCAGACAAGCAAGTAGACAGCTGGAAGCAACACATCGTTGTCTTGCGAACACATTACCAAGCCATTGTTAAGAACTCCGGCCATGAATCACTTTGTGCAAGCCATTACAAGTCCGACCGATCTGCTCGTCCGTCCCGACAGCTCAGTTGGTCAGAGCGCCTGCATTCCGATCCACCCGCCGGGTCGGGGGGAGTTCGAATCGCTTCAGGCGCTTGCCGTTTGACCTTGACAGGTATGGCGTGTGCCCGTGGGCAGCGGTCACTCTGAAGCTCGGGTGATGTCAGAGGCGTGATGCATCGCGTCGAGCTTTTGTGGCACGTTAAACGTGCGGCACCAAATTCTGCTGTTGATTGGAATTGCACTATCGGATGGCAGAGGTCAGGGCTCTCAAAGCAAGCGCTGCTCAGGGTTAGCTCCGACCCCAGAAATCCATCTACTCAAAGGGGTTTGGATTAAATCTTCTAGAACATAACCAGAAAAATAAGTAGATTGCTGGCTAACGTAATGCCAACATATGGTAAGAGCCAAAGAGTCACACAAATGTTTATTTCGGTCCTTTCAGCGGAAGGCGTCGTTGATACCATTTTGGTTAAGAACACTGCAACCTTGGTATCCATCAACGCGACACTCACAAGCCATTTGGAGCGCTCACGAAACCGGCGTAAGTTTACCATAACTTCATGACATCATCAGGACACAGAGCCCTCCGCTGACTTCACTGCTGCCACCTGCCTATTGTCACCGTCCGCCAGAGCCCTCTATCGTGTGCTTTCATAACCTGCTCAGCTCCATCCATTCTCCGCTGCGCTATGGGTCTAACCACTAGAGCCATCATCAAAAGTTATAACTCGCTACAGACTGCATTGAACATCTTGAGGCAGCGACTGATTGTATGTCGTGCCCTGCTTGATTCTCGATATTAACAAATATTTTGTCATAACGTCGTATTTTGAGCGGTAATGAGCGCTGATTGGCCGAGACGGACAAACTGCCAATAAAGTCTCTCCCCGTTGTGTTTCCTACGTCCTCACAAACCTGTTAATTCCAAAGCGCTAAAATTCAGTGATTTTCATCAACCTTTTTGTCATGTCCTGGCAGCTGTCACCATGCTTTGCACGAAGGGCTCTACGCTTGAATTGTGGGAGGCAGGTCAGAGCGGCATAGCTCCAGAAATATTGTACTATGAATAGTCCAGCTCTCAAAAAACCCGTACGGAAAGCCGGCTTTGGTTTTATTGGACTAAGCTTTGAGATAGTCAAGTATGTCATGAAAACTGCTCACAAATGCACTGAAGACTTCCTGTTACTATGCGTAGGCGGATATACGGCAGGTGCAAACAGGAAAATACCTATACGAAACAACATCATTTATGGCATCAGCGGTATGTTTGATAACATGACAGGTGTTGGCCTCTCTCGGGTCATTTGTTGGGTGCTGGTGACCACATCTTAAATTATGTGGCAGGGGTCGGACTCAGGAAAACAAACCAGCTCTAATAGAGACGCAGCTTGAATTCTGGGGAATTCCGAACATGCTGTTCACTGATAAAGTGGGTGACTGTGGCGCATGCACAGGGGTCAAATGTTTTAAGGGTAGATACATTAAGTAATATGGACGAAAACGGAGTACCACACACACA